GTAATAATAAAATGTGCAAAAGAACAATTTTTTGAACAATGGCAACAGATTCAATTGCATTTTTACATTGAAGATAAGGTTTGTTTACTGTCAAATGTTACTGTAGTCCAGTGTGTGTGTGTGCGTGTGTGTGTGTGTGTGGTATAGTATCACTGGTGTGTGTGCCCCTACCTTAGCAGGTGTGCGTTTTGGTTTTATTGAGCTTGTGGGTTTATGTCAAGACTGCCGTTGCCAGGTGGCGACGCACGCTGTGGCCCCATAGTCCTGCGTCGATGACACGGAGCCTGTAGGCTGGAATGATAGCTTTGGTGTCACCCAGAGGGGCCACTTTATCCTCTGATGTCTCCTCCAAACCACACCACCACCACCAGACTGCCCCCCACCAAACCTGCACACCCAACTAACACTGCTGCCTACTGCCTGCGCTCTAACCCAGGGACCACACTTACACAACCTTTAGTGAGGAGAATAAGGCGTGCAGTTCAAAGTCATCTTGCAGTAAATCATGCTAAATATAATTTAACTTTGATTTGTTTTAGTATAAGATTGTTTGGTACTTATTTAGATTTATCTTAAATTAATTTAAAAAACTAAATCTTATTCACCTATTATAGCTCATACTAAAACTTTTGTGCCCGTATAGTTAAGTTATTTCACTGCTGGGCTTTCCATTTCTAACAATTTACCAGAACTGGCTCATGTTTTATTGGCTCAATAAAACAAGGAACGTGGTGGTGGTCTATTCAATGAATCTCATTTAAGTTCTGTTAGTGTGCAGGATTGCTGGCGCTTTCCATTTTAGCTCCATTTGTATTGTTAGAATTTGAATATTATGAACAGAGAGAGGACGAGAAAAAGACAGCAAAAGAGGTCCCAAGCTTGTCTTAAACAAGGCAACGAGTGAGCAGCAGAAAACACGCAATATGAAGTAAGATTTTGTTCCAAATGGCATCGTTTGTTAAAAATCCAAAGGTGATTCTGAGCAGCTGGAGGCCACTGAGTTTGTTTTTCTGTTTCATTAAAGTTTGATATGATGCATACAATGGACCAAAAACATGCTTTTGTTTTTTATCCTAGATTGAAAAATAAATAAATTAAAACCTGTTTTTATTGATTAGTAATGGTGTGTGGTGATTACCGATATGTTTGACAGCTGTCAACTGCACACACACGAGTGTAAGTTAAAACAATATTAGGATTTTATAGCAACAGATGGTAAACATGCTGTTAGAGCAAGTTGAAGAGCTGTCAGACAAAGCAGAATTGTGCTTTCTTCAAACAGTATTTGAGAGGAGAGTTTGTTTTTAGTGAGCTTAGAGAGAAAGTTAAGTTTTCACCAGTGCAGCAGTGCAACCCCTGCATTCACCTGCGTGCATGCCTGCAGCAGGGTGAGGACGGTGCATTCAGCCAAAAGTCAGGGTGGCATCTAACACAGTCCTTCTCCGCAGGGATGTGAAGATCCCACCCCTGACTTCATGTAGCACACACAGATATACTTACACTCACTGTCTGCACCTCAGCCTGTAGGTTGGCCTTCTGTCGTCGGAGGTCAGACTTGATGAATCCTGGGATAAACACGGCGGAGAGAGAAAAGTTCAGCGATAGGAAATCATGGTCGTGGTGGACTTTTGGTTTGAGCAGAATGCTTTATTATATTTATATATATTTATTTATTTATTAAAAACAGCAAAAGGTAAAGAATGGGTTTATTTAGTAATCAACTTCAAATCAGTTGTGGCTCTCTTCTGTAATCCAATGTACTTCGGGTTGAAAAACAAAAAACTGGGACAATACAGAAGGCTATTCAGAGCAGGTGTCTGAACCGTACTCACCCTTCTGTATGTCAGAGTTTCATGCTGATGTCACTTATATGGTGATTTGCAGGTTTTATGTCAAAGAAAAACTATTATAGATATTTTAGTTGTAATAGGTTTTAATATGCATATATGTGGCATTAGGTAAGTTATGGAAAAAGAGCATATCTTTTGGGATTAATAAACAGGAGTTTAATACAAAAAATATGAAAAAAGAAGTCTTCACTGTCATTGAATTATGCCTTAAACAAATAGTGTTTCTTCATTCAGTCACTAGGGGGCAACGTTATCCTGCGAAAGATATTACTGTGTGTGCGTAACTTTAGGATTGTAAACACAATGCACAATTTAAAGAGTCACCTCTTAAACACACTATCTGTTGAAGTTCCTTTTAGTATCACGTGCATGCGTGTCCACAGCTGCTGACATGAGTTCAAAGGTCAATGTTGTTTTGAAAGCTGTTCGGTCTTGTGAGAGGAGAGGTTAATAACTTACCTGTCATTACCGTTCCTATTAGCAGGAAGATACACAGGAAGATGTTTCCCGCTAAAGTGCCCCATTTATCAATGATCTTCCCTTGGGAGATGGTGAAAATGATTCCAAAGATCTGAAATGAGATTGAAAATAATATGATTTTATCTTATATGTTTAGCCTGTGTCTTGCCAGGTGACAGTGCTAATATTTACTGACCTGAGCTGAACAGTTAAGCAGCCCAGATGATGTTCCCTCTGATTCTGGATAGGTGAGCTCTACTGCAAACTCAAAGCCCAGAGGTAGATATCCAGTCATGAAGAAGCTGCAGACAGACACAGAAAGCCAAATAATAACAAGGAATAGGAAAATAGCTCCACAACTGTAAAAGTAGGGCAAGAGTAAATTACTGTATAATGTATCCTGTCTGGGTTTCAAGAATGAAAACCAGACAAAGAAATTGCTATGGAAACAAGCTATGGGCATAATCAGCTTACCATAAATAGTAATAATTGTAAGGAAAAAGTACGAGGACCGGGGAGTCGGAGGAGTGTTAATTTTGCTCTGAGAAAGCAGCACTAATGCCAGCGAGAAATGCAAAGACACATGAACAACCTACAGCTTCACCACAATGTTTTAAGGGCTTATTAGCAAAAACCCGAGACGTGTAGACATCAAATAAGACCTACACGGTTCGTCATAATCTCAGAGTTAAAATTCAGGGACATGTCAGAATAAATCTTCTTTTTAGACCTGAACCCCACAAAATGAAGACTGTAACTAACCATGACTTTTACTTTAGACTGACCAGATATTATTAGGTCCATAGCTCAAATGTCTATCTCAGGGTTTCTAGTCTCAGTCCCAGTTACATTAATGACTTCACGATAATATTTGGTCAAATTTATGTCACAATTGGTCATGTTTTGGGATCGTTCATCTTGTCAGTTCAAAAGACTGGTATGAAAAAAGGTATGAATGGTTATGAGGTGGCATAGCAAATCTCATTTCAAGCCTTGCAGGAGCTGTGTTTGTTACTCCTCATGCAGAAATAACTGACAATCCTTGTAACTAAACATTTCCCAAGTTTGCAATAGTGACCAGAGATTTAAGGTTTTTTTAATGGCAAAAACATTGAAATAAACCAAAGTTTGAGAAACTGAAACCATTTCCACATATTTATTGGTCACAGAATAAAACAAATAATACTCAGGGCTATTGCATGTTGGCTAGTGTTACCTGCCACAATTCATTTCTACCCACATTTTGTACACTGGAGAGTTTGTGATGGTTACCTACCCTAAAACTCCAGCGGTGAGAAACACCACCCACAGGTGACCCAGGTTGAGGGTGAAGGAGTAGACCAGCATCCCAATCAGAGAGAGGAGATATACGGCAAGGGTGGTTTGTCTGAGGACACAGGAGACGAATATTAATCATGTAGTTTAGAAAGCACTGAAAATACAATCAAACATCATACGCATTTACGCACAGCACACCACTTCTAAAATACTATTATAACTCCAAATCTTAGAAATTCAATTTAATCTGATCTGACTTTTACATTGATGTTTAAGGATCTGAATCTTGTGACAAGGCTCACATTTGCTACATCCTTTAACAAAAAGGTAGCTCTTCTCCTCCACATTTAAGATGTATCATTTCATGTCCCTGTGTTAAATTTGTATGATGCATATAATGACACACCCAACCAGGACTAAGGCCTTCAAATACCCTCTGTTTCTACCACTGCAGGAGATGAAAAAGTATTTTAATCTTAGGGTGTTAATACTTCTCATTTTCAAAAAACATTTTGTGTCACAGCAGACATGTTTTTCCAGATGGATGTCTCATTAGAAATTAAATTCCTCACTTGATTCCTCAGCATAAACAATATATCTGAGTCACTGAAGAACCCTTGTCATAGCCCAGGCCATCTGCACAAACAGGCTTAGTTTGGGGAAGCTGTCTCTCGTACAACCACGCGTAAAATATTGCTGCAAAACATTTTTGTTAATATAACGTAGTCCTCTGACTCTCACCCACATGGGACAATAGGAGTATGAGGGTCAACAACATAAATCTGAGCCTGACTGCTTTGATAGCAAAGCATCCTAATGGCATGAAAGGAATCTGAGGACAGGAGAGTTTTTCCAGTCATAACAGTTTGCATGCCAGATCACTAAAGGCACTGTACCAAACATTTAACACTAAGAAAACTGTTGAAAATAACTGGATACTTTTGAAAAGTATTCAAATGCAAGATCAAGACAAAAAAAAAACATCATCAAAAATTAGACACCAATTGGATATCTTTACTTTTAAGATTGAATTATTAGTATTTTCCATGTTTAATGTACTGGCACAAGGCCTGAGATGTGAGCTGGGAGCACCAGAAGAGTATAGCCTGTCAGTTCAGATAAGCAGAGAGGGACATCAGATACAAAACTCGGTTCCGCTGGATTCTCATTCGTGCCCACTTTGAACAAATCGCTTGGACGTCTCCCTGTGAATGGATGGTTTAATAGACATCCATGTCAAGAGCCCTTGTTTTAAAGCACAGCTAACACTGCAGCAAACAAACATGGCTGTTGACCCTGAAGACTGAAAATTACGTCAGAGCGTTTTCTTTGAGGTCGCTGTGAGTTTCTGGTAGGACAGATTCACTTGAAGCACTAAAATCAAATTTTTTTTTAATACTAGCAGGAAAGTTGGACGGGTGGAAATGTTGGTGTGACGGCCCAACACTGACTGAAACTACTAATGGATAGATTGAAATTTTCCAGAGGATGAACTGACTTTGGCTGACTTTACCTCTAGCGCCACCATGAGGTTGACATTTTTGTTTTTGAACTATTACGTGGATTGTCATGAAATTTGGACATGTGCATGTTCCTCACAAGATCAAAAGGACAAGATTAGAATCTGTCCAACACTACCCTGGCATCGCTAAACTAATTCACGTCAGTGAGAGCAAATGAAACATCACGAGCTCAGCTGGTTCGTCTGGTTCCCAGGCTAGTTTATGACCAAACACCTGCAAAACTAATGACATTCCCAACAGCCTCAGCTGTGTGTGTAGTGCTAATTAGCAACTAAGATGATGAAGATGTTGAACAATACACCTGCTGAATATTAGCATGTTAGCATTGTCATTGTGAGAATGTTAGCATGCTGACATGAGGCATTTAGTGCCTCAAAAAGCTGCTAGACTATTTAGAACAACCCACTCCATTGCGTTAAGTCATCATTGATTTCCTAATGTGATCTTTTACATGTTGAACCTTGTAGACTGATCTGGTCAAAGGAAAGAAAAACAACCAATTTGATGGCAGATGAAGGTCAACAGACTTATTTTTAGAAGAGAGTTTTAATTTCTTCTCATTGCCTGGAAGCATTACTTTAGCTCAGTTTGGCATTATTGTTGTCTTACTTGTAGGTTTTGGTCTTGTCCAGCCAAATGCCACATATGAGGGACCCCACCATGCCAGCAATGACTATAGTCAGACCAATTCTCCCAGCATTCACCTCTTCACCCTGAGAGGAAAAACAGAGTTTTTTCTGGTTTTACAGACCACATAAGACACCCGTGACATTTTGCACACTGCAGTTATCTTGGAAGCTTTGGGCCATAACAATCCCAGACCACAGTTATCTGTGTCAGGTTCACCTCCTTGGCAGCTTTGTAGTCATCTGCGTGAAAGAAAACTACACAAATGTCTATATGGTGGGCCTGTTGATACTGAGTAAATGGCAGGAGACAATTGTAGAGGAGACAAGGAAGGAAGGAAGAAACTGAGAACAATGAAAAATTAAAATAAAAGCTAATCTGACTAGAAATAAACATAACGTAGCAGCATGTTTTAGAAGCTGGGACTTACAGGATAGTGTACAATGATCATCCGATTCAACAGAGTGGAAACAGCATAGAAGCAGCCAACGTTCAGCCCTGCAGACAACAAACACAAAATTATCTATTCTGAGAAGACCTGTAGGGAAAGGAAAAAGTCAATATGGGACCTGTTTCCCCTTTTAAAAAAACACATTAAGTAAATAGTCAGTCTTTACTTCGCTGAAAGAATTTAAGTTTAAACTGAAGCATGCGTCTCTAGACACAAAAGCACCTTAAAATCCCATTGTTCAGACATGTTAAGTGTACACATCATCAATTATTAACATTGTCATCATTAAATAGTGACCTTTAAGCAAATGTGACATATTCAGGACCTTTAGATCAATGCAACACATAGGCAGTGTACTGGAAGTCCATGTGTTATGGTGACACATCCTCATATCTGCACACCAGCTGATAAAGACTGTAGGTTTCCACAAATGAGATATCTATTTTGAGACTTTTACATCTTTGTTACCCTAGACCTCAATATTGCAACAGCATCCCAGGCTGGATAGGTGATAAAAGTAAGGTGTTGGAGTGTGAGGTGATTTGTAATTCACAATGATAAATAATAATAAAGACACACCATTATGTCATAGAAGCATGTGAAGACACAGATCTGACGCAGACTTCCTCCTCTGCTGTGATGATATCATTTGATGTGACCGATGAACCTACAGTATGCTAATATTAGCGTTTATGGAGAGTTAGATAGTATTACAACTAACCAAAGTCATGTAAGGAACTATAATGTAAGTGAATCAACCTAGAAAGCGTTTACCTGCAAATTCTTCTTTTTGTAATACTTATAATAATAACAAAAGTAAATAGTTGTGCTGACAGCTTGTTGACTGATAGAAAATGAATGAGAAACAATTCTGATATTTGATTAATCTCTAATAATCATAATTCCGAGAAAAAAAATGTCAAACACTTGCTGGTTCTAACTTGGAACAGTTTTCCTCCTTTTTTCTGTTAAGATCATTGCGACTTAAATGTCCCTGGACATGTCAGATGGAACAAACAATTTAAAGATGTCATCCAGTCCATCCACCATCGAATTAAACATCAGTGGAGAATCAATTGAAAAGTGTGTAAGACTTAGTGGCAGCTAATGATGATATTGCAAACTGCTACCAAGTGAAAACCCCTTGACTCAACCAAGCATGAAGGAGAAACTGCGGTGGCTGCAAAGCTCAGAAAAAACACAAAAGGCCCTGTCTAGAGCAAGTGTTTGGTTTGAGCGCTCTGGGCTACTGTAGAAACATGGTGGTTAAACATGGCATTCTCCGTAGAAGAGGACTCACTCTCTCTGTAAATAAAAACGGGCTGCATTCTGAAGGTAACGAGGGCAAGAACTTTTATTTTTCCACGCTTACCTTCAGGAGGCACTAAGATGCGAAACCATTCCTATGAATATTATATTCAGTTTCTGAGAATAGATCTTATTTAATGTTTCACTCTTGACTTTTGAATGGTAAATACAACACCTAAGGGCCTGTTCCTCCAGACAAGGTGTCATTACACAAAAGTGTCCTGTTACACCAGTTAGAATAAGGCAAAAGGAAGGGACCCACCATAGCTGACCACCAGGAGCATGAAGGGCTTGTTGCACAGCAGCCTCAAGATAGAAGCCGTGTACGAGTACTCGTCAGGGGAGATGTTCCTGGCCTGAGCCTGGGCCTGGGTGGGAGGGATCTCTGGCTTCTCCTGAAACACTGGAAAACAAACACACAATATTTCAAGAGGTTACATGTGTGTTTATGGATATAAGATCATCTGAGGGATAAAGGCAGAGTTATTGTGTGGTAGTGTATTGTCTGTTCTCTGATCAGCCAGGGGGGTAAAAGCTCAGTGTGACACTAGAGGTCATAATGACAGCAATAACAGTGAAAGCAAAATGTGTCTGTGTCTGTGTGTGT